TTCAAAGACGACAGGAGGATAAATTTACAATGACGGGAAGAAACCAGAGTAAAAAAGCTGAGAATACGCTAAGTCAGAACGCCTCTCCCTCTAAAGATGATCACAGTTCCACATCAACAATGGAACAAGGCTTGATGGAGAACGAGCGCCTCCTGATGACAGAATCACTCTACAAGGAATGGATAATAACAAACTTCGGTGAGTTAAAAGAACATGTTGTAGCCCAACGTAAAGAAACTAGGAACTTTGAAAAAAGGTTTGATGAAATCCTATTGAGAATAGACAACTTAGAGAAGAGTATGAGTGAATTAATGGAACTGAAGAATACAATACAGGAACTCCGAGAAGTATGCACAGGTTTAAACACTCGAATTGTTCAAGCAGAAGAATGATATCAGAGGTCAAAGTCCAACTTAATGAAATAAAACGTGAAGAAAAGATTAGAGAAAAAAGGATAAAAAGGAATGAGCAAAGTCTCCAAGAAATGTGGGACTATGTGAAAAGACCAAATTTACGTTTGATAGGTGTACCTGAATGCGACGGAGAGAATGAATCCAAGCTGGAAAATACCCTTCAGGATATTATTCAGGAAAATTTTCCTAAACTAGCAAAGCAGGTCAACATTCAACCCCAGGTAATACAGAGAACACCATAAAGATATTCCTCAAGAAGAGCAACCCCAAGGCACATAATCGTTAGATTCACCAGGGTTGAAACGAAGGAGAGGATACTAAGGGCAGCCAGAGAGAAAGGTCAGATTACCCACAAAGGCAAGCCTATCAGACTTACAGCAGATCTCTCGGCAGAAACTCTACAGGCCAGAAGAGAGTGGGGGCCAATATTCAACATCCTCAAAGAACAGAACCTTCAGCCCAGAATTTCATATCCAGCCAAACTAAGCTTCACAACTGAAGGAAAAATAAAATCTTTTATGAACAAGCAAGAACTCAGAGATTTTATTACCACCAGGCCTGCTTTACAAGAGCTTCTGAAAGAAGCATTACACACAGAAAGAAACAACCAGTATTAGCCTTTCTAAAAATATACCAAAAAGTAAAGAGCATCAACATAAAGAATTTACACCAACAAATGGATAAAACAGCCAGTCAACATCAAATGGCAGTAACCCTAAATTTAAATTGACTGAATTCCCAATCAAAAGACACAGCCAAAACCCAACGGCATGTTACATCCAGACCTGTTTCACATGCAAGGATACACAAAGACTCAAAGGGATGGAGAAAGATTTACCAATCAAATGGAGAGCAAAAATAAATAATAAATAAAAAGCAGAAGTTGCAATTCTTGTATCGGATAAAATAGATTTTAAAGCAACAAAGATAGAGTGGTAAAAGGATCAATGCAACAACAAGAGCTAATGATCCTAACACCCAGATACGAGACTTAGATTCAATGAGACAGAAAATTAATAAGGATATCAAGGACTCGAACTCAGATCCAGAACAAGTAAAAATAAATATTTATAGAGCTCTCCACTTCAAATACACAAAATATACATTCTTGTCAATACCACATCACACCTACCCATAAGTTTAAATGAAACATTGATTGGCCATTATTAATACCCAATTTTTTTCAAAATAAAGCAATATTTCCATTTACTCTCTTTCTCTTCCTCTTTCTTTCTCTCCTTTACTTATTTATTTTTTTTCTTTCCTTCTCTCAAAAAAAAAGAAATCAGCTTGTAAACCTCTAGATCCAGGTCGGCAATGTCTCTTTCATTGCTTGATTTCCTTTCTTCCTTTCCCTCCCTCCCTCCTTCCCTCCCTCCCTCCCTCCCTCCTCCCTGCTTCCTCCCTTCCTTCCTTCCTTCCTCCCTTCCTGCCTTCATCCCTTCCTTCCTCCCTACCGTCCTTATTCCCTTCCTTTCTGCCTTCCTCCCCCCCCAAAAAAAATTATGTAAACTGGTAATTTGTTTAAAAAAGCATAACTAAGAATTTCGTTTCTTCATAAAATGGAAATATAAATATTTCTCCTGATGGTCTTGAGGTTATTATGAATAGTGCAAAGTTTGGTACACACAGTTATATCTAGAAGGGTGTGTATCTTACATACCTTATTTTAACAAAATGCATATAATTAATGCATGATAGAAAGCAGGTTTCAAATACAAGGCAGCCCCTCAGGCCACCATATTATTTAGATTTTACATTATCATTTATAGCATTATAGATTAATTACACATAACATACATTTATAGTTTTTTTTTTAAATTATAGTTTAAGTTCTGGGATACATGTGCAGAGTGTGCAGGTTTGTCACATATACTTGTGTCATGGTGGTTTGCTGCACCTATCAACCCATCATCTACATTAGGTATTTCTCCTAATGTTCTCCCTCCCCTATCCCCTCACCCCTGTACAGGCCCTGGTGTGTGATGTTCCCCTCCCTGTGTCCATGTGTTCTCATTGTTCACCTCCCACTTAGGAGTGAGAACATGCAGTGTTTGGTTTTCTGTTCCTGTGTTAGTTTGCTGAGAATGATGGTTTCCAGTTTTATCCATGTCTGCAAAGGACATGAACTCATTCTTTTTTATGGCTGCATAGTATTCTGTGGTGTATATGCACCACATTTTGCTTATCCAGTCTATCACTGATGGGCATTTCGGTTGGTTCCAAGTCTTTGCTCTTGTGAGCAGTGCTGCAGTAAACATATGGGTGCATGTGTCTGTACAGCAGAATGATTTATAATCCTTTCTGTATATACCCAGTGACGGGATTGCTGGGTCAAATGGTATTTTTGGTTCTAGATCCTTTAGGAATCACCACACTGTCTTCCACAATGGTTGAACCAATTTACACTCCCACCAACAGTGTAAAAGTGTTCTTATTTCTCCACATCCTCTCCAGCATCTATTTATTGACTATTTAATGATTGTCATTCTAACTGGCATGAGATGATTTCTCACATGGTTTTGATTTGCATTTCTAATGACCAGGGATGAGCTTTTGTTCATATGTTTGTTGGCTGCATGAATGTCTTCTTTTGAGAAGTGTCTGTTTTGAGATGGAGTCTCGCTCTGTCACCCAGACTGGTGTGCAGTGGCGCGATCTTGGCTCACTGCAACTTCTGCCTCCTGGGTTCAAGTGATTCTACCATCTCAGCCTCCCAAGTAGCTGGGATTATAGGCACCTGCCATCATGCCTAGCTAATTTTTGTATTTTTTGTAGAGACGGGGTTTCACCATGTTGGCCAGGCTGGTCTCGAACTCCTGACCTCAGGTGATCTCAAGGTGCTGGGATTAAAGGCGTCAGCCGCCGTACCCGGCCCAACTTTCATGCATTTTAACCCTTAAGAAAAGTAATCGTTGTTTGAAAAAATTATTTCATGTAACCGTTTGGTTTTTATCTGGAGAAACTAAACCTGCATGAATTTAGTGTCTGCCAAGTCGGAATCAGTAGCTCAAGTCAGTGCATCAGATAATATGTGACACATTTCACAGTGACTTGTTTCCCAAGGCCTGGCAATGCCTCTTCTCCCAAGTATGCCAGATGATGAAGCATTTCCAGGATTATCCTTCTATGTGGTTTCCTGTTTCATTTTTTTTGCATTATTTTGTCTTCTCCCCTCTTCTGTGGCCTTCCATTTTAATTATTCATAAATCCTTTCAGAATAGCCCCAGAAAGCTATATAAGGGGAAGTTCTGGAGATGGAAAATCCAAGGGAGGAAGGTTGGAGATTGGAATGTCCTTTGTTTTCCGGGTATTTGCTGCAAACTTTTGCCAGGCTGAAGAGGCTGTAGAGTTTCTAAATGTGGCAGCTAGCTCCATAACTCTGATGTTTCTACAAAATTAGCATCTACATCCAGCTCCTTTTCTATTGGACCTTTTAGAAGTCTGCCCTTTTCAGCCTTTAGTTGTTTATTTTCTTTCCTTAATCTTTAATTCTCAGCCAGAAGAAATTCCACATGCCTCTTCAAATCTGCTTCTCTATAATTGTTTTATCATCTTTTGGGTCCTTGCTTCCAATTCATAGCTCTGTTGGCTCACTCTTTTGCTGAAGTAAAAATAGTAGACCAATATAGCTATTACTGGTCAGAGCTTTTTTTCTTTTTTTTGGGAAGTGAACCTAGAGAAATGGCGGACTTGCCTCTGGTGCAGATAGTCCTGCAACTGCCCAAGGCCATTTCAGAACACACATGAAGAGACAGGAGAATAGACAGTGTGGGTTTTGGGAAAGAGCAGAGAAAACCCCAGACATTGTATGGCTTTAGGCTTTGCTCTTGTGAGCCTCCTGTCCAGGAGGGCCATTAGTGTCCCCAAGTCTCTCCCAACCCCGTGAGCCATCCATCAGGGTGAGCTGAGGGATAAGTTGTGGAAGCAGAGCCGCTGTGGCTGAGAAGAACTGTTCTGGTGGTTGCTTAGCAAGCTGGAGAGTGAACGCGGGGAAGCAAACTGTGTATGGGGGTTGAACGCCTCCAGTGGAAGAAGATGAGGCGTAGAGGCCTCTTACCGCTAGGGAATGTATCTGAGTCACGTGGCACCAAAGTGTGTTACTGGTGGACGGTATCCGAGTCACAGAGGCACCAAAATATATTATTGCACTGAGATGAATCCGTATGGGTCTGCAGCAACCTCAGTTCTTTTCTCCTCAGAAAAAAGAATGGCCAAGGGATACAAGGCAGAAGGAATGACCTGGGCAAGTTTTAGAGCAGGAGCGAACGTTTATTCAAGCTCAAGTAGAAATGAAAGGAAGGAGAGAAAGTACACTTAGAAGAGGGCCAAGTGGGCAGCTTGAGAGATGAGTGCCTCCTTTTATTAGTCAGTCAGTTATCAACACCAGCTCTGCGTGTTTGCTGGCTTGAGATACCGCTTTGTGTGTGTGTGCTCATGCTTTAATCACTTTTAAGCTGACATCTTCCTAGAAGGAAATTGAACAAATAAATGCATATTGCCTATAACTCATTAAGATCTAAGGAAGGGGACTTTAGTAGTTGAAACGATTATATATTATTAATTGGGATTTAAAAAATTTTTCAGGCTAAGTGCTATTTATGGAGGTACCTATATGCTGAATAAACCCATTGAAGAAATCATTGTGCAGAATGGAAAAGTAATTGGTGTAAAATCTGAAGGAGAAGTAAGTAGCTTTTAAAATGAAAAAAAAAAAAAAAAAATACTGTGTTCTGGTGAAGAAAATTGTGTATTCTAAATATTTATTTTGGTGTGGACACTGATGTATATGGTTTCTGTATGGGAGGTTGGTGTTTATCGTGACTAAGGACTAGTTACAGATGTTGTGCTCTATTTTAAAAAACATAACTAAAAATTTTTTTTTGTCAATTATTTTAATATTCAAACATGCATTATGGGTAAGCTCTAAATGGTAAGTATTCAGTGTTCTTAGTTTGGGTTGTGCCTGTCTCCCAAATTTTTATTTAAATTGATCTATACTTGCTGGCCAACTACACGGGTGTGGAGTTTTGAGCAGCGTTGCAAGTTTGAATTACATATGAAGCATTGTTAATCTGGCTCTAGTGTATGTTCTGATTCGGTAGGTCTGAGAAGGCTCTGCATTTCCTTGAAACCTCTCAGGTGATGTGGATGCTGCAGGGAAATAAAAGATCCATTTCCCTTTATTGCCGTATGAAAGAATTCTTCCGCCATTTGACACAGTTACTGTCTGCAGCAATTCCTGGAGTAGAGGATGCACTCCAAGTGTACTGCTTTACTGTCTGTCCCTGGAATCCTGCAAATCTCAGCTTTATCTTTTTAATATGAAGCTGTATGGAAATGTAGAAACCTCCTGGGTGGTGGGGTGGGGGGCATTTTCAGCCGTTTAGATGTCACTGGAAATGAAAGTTTGAGATCAGAGTTTGGTAGCTGGTGTAAGCGGACAGTGAGTAAGAGAGAGAAAATACAGGACTGACCTAGGGCAAAAAAAGCCTGGTAATAACTTGTGAAGCACATTTTAAATCTCATTTATTCCTTACAATGTCTTAAGAGGCAGGCATTACATCCAGGTTATACTTGGAGGCTTAAATTAAGAAACATCTACAAGGGCACATAATTCCGTGAATGGCTGGGGTAGAATTGGAATCAAGGTGTTCTTCACTCACAGCCCTGTCATGATACACCTGAGGATGTAAACTCCTGTGCTGGGTGGTGTTGGGTTTGTATGTTTTATCTACTAAAATGTTACTCAATTATTTATTTATTTGAAACAGGGTTTTGCTCTGACACCCAGGCTGCAGTGCAGTGGTGTGATCTCAGCTTCCTGCAACCTCCACCTCCCAGGTTCAAGCAATTCTCCTGTCTCAGCCTCCACAGTAGCTAGGATTACAGGCACATACCACTATGCCCAGCCAATTTTGTATTTTTTAGTCGAGTCGGGGTTTCGCTATTTTGGCCAGGCTAGTCTTGCTAGTCTCAAAACTCCTGGCCTCAAGTGATCCACCCCCCTCAGCCTCCCAAAGTGTTGGGATTACAGGTGTGAGCCACCATGACAGGCCTCTAAAATGTTACTTAATTGGATCTTTTGAACATATATTTTAGGCAGCTTCTTTATAACCCCCTTTCATCTTGTCTCTGTCCTAGTTTCTCATCTACTTTATATGAAGTTACAAAGCACAAAAGAAACCATATTTTGTTTGACATGTTTATTACTAGGTTTTGTTAATGCTGACTGAATGCTCAGGCATATCAGTACAAACAGCACTGTTTACCATCTGGGTCCAGCAGACTCCACACAGCCACCTTTGTGTGTGGCATCATCAGTCTCACTATCTTCCAGCTCCACGCCGGGAGATCTTCGTCAGGGACAGTAACACTGCCTGTGCTTTCAGCATCATAGTTGTTTAGGAGCTAAGAGATAATTGTTTTTTTTATTTTTTATTGTTTTTTGGAGACAGAGTCTCACTCTGTCGCCAGGTTGGAATGCAGTGGCGTGATCTTGCCTCACTGCAACCTCTACCTCCCGGGTTCAAGTGATTCTCCTGCCTCAGCCTCCCAAGTAGCTGGGGCTATAGGCGCCTGCCATCAAGCCCAGCTAATTTTTGTATTTTTAGTAGAGATGGGGTTTCACCATGTTGGGCAGATGGACTCCATCTCTTGACCTCATGATCCACCTGCCTTGGTCTCCCGAAGTTCTGGTATTACAGGTGTGAGCCACTGTTCCCGGCCAGGGATAAGTGTTTTAATCTGACTTCTTAAAGTTGTTTTTATTCCATATTATTCTTTTGTTTCATTCTTCGTGTTTCTGAAGCTTCAGGGCTTTACTATGAAAAGGCTTTAATACATTTATTTTGCAATGAATGGTTTTCTTAGAAAGCATAGCCTTAAGATGGTAAGGATTTTGGTCTATTTAGAATACATTTATTGAGCATTTACTTTCTGTCAGGACACGCACATATAATGACAGACTTTTTTACACCATTTCATTTAGTTCACTACTGTCCTTTTGGCTTCCCTGGGGGCCACATTGGAAGAAGAATTGTCTTGGATCACACATAAAATATGCTAACACTAACATAGCTGGAAAAAGGGTCCATGCATAATTTTAATGATATCTGCCACCACAAATAAGCAAAAATGTCCTTGCATTCAAGAGGTTGGACATGGGAGAATTTTAGTCCTAACAACAATCCTTTGAGGTTAGGTAGAGCCAGGATTTGAACCCTGAGCTGCCCAATTCTAAAACTTGTACCCTGAATACTGTGCAACACAGTTTTCCTAGTATTTTAATAGGGTTTACAGTTCATGTATCTGTTCCAGGAGAAAATATGTAGGGTTATTGACAAAGCTAGCTTTAACAATCACACTTCAATAGTTAACCTCAACTTTTTATATGTTAGATTATGAAGATAACAGATTATATTCAAGGTAAAAATTACATTAATACACTCTTGAAAACATTGCAGACACTGAATGTTAGTCTTTTTTCCTCCAATTTTTATAAATTGTAATAAAGTACACATCAAATTTATCTTTTTTTTTTTTGGAGACGAGTTTCGCTCTTGTTGCCCAGGCTGGGGTGCAGTGGTGTGATTGCGGCTCCCTGCAACCTCCACCTCCGGGGTCCCGTCTCAGCCTCCCAAGTAGCTGGGGCTACAGGCACCCACCACCTCACCTGGCTAATTTTTGTATTTTTAGTAGAGGCAGGGTTTCTCCATGTTGGTCAGGCTGGTCTCCAACTTCTGACCTTCAGGTGATCTGCTCACCTTGGCCTACCAAAGTGCTGGGATTACTGGCCACTGCACCTGACCCTTTGATCATTTTTGAATCTGGGTTGTTGTTGTGTTTTAGGAGTTCTTGATAAATTGTGATATATCCCTTATGAGATATATAATTTGCAGATATTTTTTCTCATTCTATGAGTTGCCTGAATTCTTGATTACTGTCTTCTGATGCACAATTTTTTTTTTTTTTTTTTAAAAGAGACAGTGTCTTGCTCTGTTGCCTGAACTGGACTTAAACTCTTGGACTCAAGCAATTCTCCTGCCTCAGCCTCCCAAGTAGCTGGGATTATAGCCATATGCCATAATGCCTGGCTATGTACAAAATTTTTACATTTTCATGAAATCCTGTTTTCATGAAATTTGTTTTTCTTTTGTTGCCTGTGTCTTTGGTTTTAGATCTAAGGAATCACTGCCAACTCCAGTGTCATGAAGGTTTTGCACTGTTTTCTTCTAAGAGTTTTATAGTTTTAGATATCACATTTAGGTCTTTCTTCCATTTTGAGTTAGTTTTTGTGGGTGGTGGTAGGTAGGGGTCCAACTTCATTCTTTTGCATGTGGATAGTTTTCCTGGAACGATTTGTTGAAATGACTGTTTTTCTCTCATTGAATAGTCTTCACAACTTTGTCAAAAATCATTGTACTGTGGAGGTGAGGGTTTATTTCTGGCCTTTTTCCGTTTCATTGGTCCACGTTTGTCATTATGCCGGTACACTGAATTGATCACTATAGCTTTTTAGTGAGTCCTCCAGCTTTACTGCTGTTCTTTTAAGATTGCTTTGGTTGTTCCAGAATGCAATCCCTTGGGAACCAATATGAACCATAGGATGGTTTTTGATATCTTAACAATACTAAATCTTTAAAACCATGAACGTGGGATTTGTTTCCATATATCTGTGTCAGCTTCAGTGTCTTCTTAAATGCTTTGTTACAGATTGCTCGCTGTAAGCAGCTCATCTGTGATCCCAGCTATGTAAAAGATCGGGTAGAAAAAGTGGGCCAGGTGATCAGAGTTATTTGCATCCTCAGCCACCCCATCAAGAACACCAATGATGCCAACTCCTGCCAGATCATTATTCCACAGAACCAAGTCAATCGAAAGTCAGGTGAGGTTTGAAGACCAGGAGATGTTCGTAGATTTTTTTAAGATATTATTTGCTTTGTGTTTTATTTCAAATTGTGTATGCTCTATTAGTGAACAGACTTTGGTTTACATATGAGGGGGAAAATGTCATCCTTGTACCACTTCCCGGTCCTGCAGCATTGTGTTGACAGGGACAGGTTCAACTTGGAGCCAGCCCTAGATTTGTGTCCATCATCTGTAGAATGAACAGACTGGGCTAGGTGAACCCTGAGGCTCCCAGCTCTGACTAACAGTAGGTGCCTATAGAGGACACTACAGTTACTTGGATGAGTAGTATACAGACCAAGTCTAATTGAGAATTCTATCTAATGCCAACTCAGAAGTGGTTTATGTGGATTCTGCAATTTAACGTTACTTTAGTAAGTCAAAGAGGACATCAGTACTAAATACATCCTTTCTTAGCCATTCAAAACCTTTCCAAGTAGTCCAGAATGGAAGAAAAGCCCAGAATAGTTAATATGGTTTGGCAGCTTTTTTCAGTTAGGTATGACAGAGCTGTTAGGAGATCTCATTCCAAAGTTCAGCAGTTTGCGACCACATAAATTCTTAATCTCTAGTAAGTTAAAAGAAATGCCTATTGTTAACTATTTGTGTATTTTACAACTCTGTGATCATTTAGAACTTTAAGTGTAGAAGATCTTGCCTATTAAGTCACTGTAATTCACACCCACATATGGTTGGCACCTGAGTGTGCTGGGCCCCAGATGGACACACTTGAGCAGTGAGCTGGTGGTGTTTGTTTCTAGATATCTATGTCTGCATGATCTCCTCTGCGCACAATGTGGCGGCACAAGGGAAGTATATCGCCATAGTTAGTACCACTGTGGAAACCAAGGAGCCTGAAAAGGAAATCAGACCAGCTTTGGAGCTCTTGGAACCAATTGAACAGAAGTGAGTTGTGTTCTTTTCTATCTGCCAGGATGCAAACTGAGGCCTTTGATTGTGGTTCCACGGTGGGAGGAATGTGAGGGCAAGGCAGGTGGCCGTTGGCTGCTCTGTGGGTCATACATACCTCAGAATTTCAGGCAGAGCCAGGGTTAGGTGTGGAACCAGCTCATCTGACTCAGTTCTCTCTCCCTCCAGATTTATTAGCATCAGCGACCTCCTGGTACCAAAAGACTTGGGAACAGAAAGCCAGGTGAGTATGGAGGTGTGAGAGGATACGGGCAGGTTCACTGGAAGGTATCCCTCCACAGTCTTAAGTCTTTGTAATTTTTGTTTTCAGATCTTTATTTCCCGCACATATGATGCTACCACTCATTTCGAGACAACATGTGATGACATTAAAAACATCTATAAGAGGATGACAGGATCAGAGTTTGACTTTGAGGAAATGAAGCGCAAGAAAAACGACATCTATGGGGAAGACTAACAGCAGTACATGTTATTATCCAGTTAGGACAAATTTACAATGCGGCAAATAATGCATATGATATGAAATCAGTATTGTAAGGCCTGCTTTTGTAATCAAAGTGGAGAATGAAGAGCGCTGTGCCAGTAAATACTCCCCCCCCCTCCATCTTTCTAATATTATGTATTAACTTGTTTTTGTGGAGTGGCTATTCAGAATTGGCAGTTACCATATTCTGTTCAATTAACCAAACTGGCTTTCTTTTTTCTAGTGGAGGATCAGTTGTAAACATTGGGATACTGATACTGAGACAGTATTTGTATGTTTAATCAGTGTAGCCTTTGCAGTTACGTGCTGCTGCTCAAGAGCTGGATCCATACAGGTTGTGTGCCATCTGTCCTCTTGACATTGAGGAGATTCCAAATTGAATATTCCACGGTTTGGGACGGCATCCAGAAGTTTTCCCTATGACTTTATATTTTGTATTATGTCAAGTGTTATGGCAGGGTCCAAATAGCATAGCCACAAATTTGGTTTACCTGGGCATAATATTCTAACCAAACTCCAGACATAGGGAGTCATGTGGAGAAAGCCCGAATGTGGTGTTTCGATCTAATAAAGTTGATGAGGGAAAAGGGGAGAGGAAGCGAACATAAAGCGGGTACAGTGTAGAGAGCATCTTTTGTCTCAGGCGTGGCTTCATCAATGGACCAAGCTGCAATGCAGTATCGACTTGACAGAGCCTCTACTTCTGTCTCAAAATGGCTCCAAATGATTTCTGTACTGCAAAATAAAGCCAAATTCTGGAAACCACTTTCCTTTATGTGTCCTGATTGCCAGGGTCACAGCTGCTGTGCTTCCTTCAGTAGCACTGGAGTCAATGCCAGTCAGAAGGTGCTGAGCAGTGGAGAGCGTGGGCGTCTCCTGATCTGGATGGATTACAGCCGGTCCTGTTGTCTGGCATCCCTGTGAGTACACCTCAAGTTTTATTCTTGACACAGTGCAATTACTAGACTCTGATAATCTCGGTTTAGGAAAAACATTTTTGTGGACAAAATGCAGGTTACAGTGTTTGATTTTGCTTATAGCAGCAATTGTAAGGGAGTAAGTGAATCGTCAGGGAGAATAGGTACTTTATAGTTTTCCTGTAATTGAAATGGTAAAGTGTGAGCCTTACTGCAGATGCTGTTTACCACAGATAAAGACTGACTCTTATGTGGAGACAAAGGTAGATGATGTGTTAAGAGGAACTAGGGTGGTGATTTAGATTGTTACTCAGATTGCCACAGTGATTATCTTACAGCTTCTCAACTTCCCACAGCTGTTTTGGGGTGGATCCTTCTGTTGTAGGGGCCGGTCTGTGCATTGTAGGGTAGGGCTGATTATCGCAGCATCTCTGGCCTCCACACACTAGATGCCAACAGGAGCATCCTGGAATGACAACTGAAAATGTCTCCAGATGTCACTGAGTGTCCACTGCTTTATCTGTATGATCAAATTATCTTAAGTTCCAGCACGCCTTTCTCTCCTCTTCCCATGCAGGCAAAGGCCCAAGCTGGGTTAGTAATAAGTGAAAATTTAAAATCTTATTATTCATTTAACGTATTTACTGAATACCTTGTGTGCCAGGCCCCAGTGGAGACAAAGATAGTTACTGGGAGAACTCAGTTTGGGGAACACATGATACGGTTTGGTTGAGTGTTAGTACAGTTACAGAAAAGGCAGCGTGAACTGAGAAAGACAGCCTTGTGGGTGTTGGAAGGCTTTTCAGCAAGGGGAGGTGGGCATTATTAGGCCCAATTTGAAAGGTGTGTATTTCAGGAAGGTAGGTGTTGGCAAGCGTGTAACCGCTTACTTGTCTTAATTCACTGTACTGGATAGTTAACAGTCCCCTTACTAGATTCTTGTCCTTGGGGAAAAAATAAAATTCGGGTTCTATTAACAATTAAAACTCCAATAAAGCTCTTTTATTTAGGTAGGAATAATAAAAACCAACTTAATGACATCTGAAAGAAGTTTCGCTGTAAAGGCCAGGTGAAACTGCCATTAACTTGCTCAGTGTACTTCACCTTGGGAGGGAAAACACCAGAAACAGAACAGGCCAGGCCCGAAAGACAGTAGTGGTTTCCTCTGGAAGCTTATAAACCACTCCAGATGAGCTCAATTTCTGTTATAAAAATCATTGCAGAAAGAGATTTTTAGTTGTCTTTATTTAAAAAATGAAACAAATTAGTTACAAAACCCTTTGCTCCAAATACATACCACGTATCTTACAAATGTTTTTTGCTTGGTTTTGAGTTTTTACTGTAGAAATTTCAATATCATAAATAAATGATTATTTCTTTCTCAAAGCTGATTTTTGTAGTGTAGTATTTACAAAAACCGTAAGTGAAAATGGATAGTTTATAAATTTGTACCATTTAGGAAAAAATGTCTTAAGTTTATGTAGTGTTGTTTGTATACCAGCAAATAAAACCATTTGAGATAGTTTTTATAAGGGTGTTAAGACCATAATGTGCATCATATGCCTTTCTGACATTAGCATGCAAAAACAAAACTATCTGTTAAAATAGACTTATTTTTGCTCCAACTAAGTAAATGTAAAATTTGTGTTTTTAATATTAAGCTCAATAGCTTAGAAGGCATCTTGTTTAAAATGAAAATAATTTAAAAGAGTATCTAGCACTGCAACCTAAAGCTGACAGACAACTACAGTGCACTGTGACGTCACGTATTTCAGCAAAATATCAAAGAAGGAAAACTTTCCAAGTTGCAGAACACTGATTTTCCAAATATAAGACCGTTCACATGTGTCTTCATACGTTTTCCAAAGGAAAAGGAAAACAGTAATTTTTTGTTGGCATCATCCATGTCCAGGTAGGCTGTAGTTAAGTCACCTGAAGACACACAAAATTGGTAAGAACTTAAAATAATATGACCAAGAAATATTTTATAAGCCAGATGCTCTCTGTAATGGGGGAAACTCCCGTGTATTCTACGGTTATGTTATGGCAATCCAAGTTCACAATAAGTGACAATGTGCACCATTTAGATAAAATGGATGATTTTAATAGGTTGGTTACTTCATTTAGTGATAATTCAGGAATTCCTATTCATGCCAAACAGCGATTCCACCACTAAATACTTGATAGTGTGAAATATAAACAGTTTCCCAACAGTTTCCCTTAGACATGAATGTCAGTATTTGCCAATCAACAACTCCAATTCACCTGGGAAAGTTACATAAAAAGTGTTCTTACCAATAGCTACTCCTAAATGGAGCTGCTACTTTTTGTATATTTTCTATAAAGTTATTTACATCTGTAACAAGGATTCCACTATTTTCAAAGATTTCTCTGGGGATAGTAGGCTTGTCTGTAATAAAAAAAAATTTGGTTAATATAATTAATGTATTTGTACATAGCAGGACTTAGTTTTTTTAAAAAGGATCTCTGGAACTCCCTAGTGTGGGAGTAGGGGGACAAAAGGTGTTAGATTCCAAGCTAAGAAAAAATTTAAAGCTTTCTGAATAGATGCCTCCATCGGGGGTGGTAGGGAAAGTGCTGGAAAAAAAAAAAAAAAATCCCTGAAAAATGACTGTAGTTCTTTATGTAAATTTTTAATTTTTTGAAATAGGGTCTTGTTCTGTCACCCAGGCAACAGTGCAATGGTGTGATGATGGCTCACTGCAGCCTCCACCTTTACGGCCCAGGCTCAAGCTATCCTTTTGCCTTAATGAGTAGCTGGGACTATGGGCACACATCACCACACCTGCTAATTTTTAAATGTTTTGTAGAGATGGGGGCTTGCTAAGTTGCCCAGGCTAGCCTTGAATTCCTAGGCTCAGTGATCCACCTGCCTCAGTCTCCCAAAGTGCTGGTATTACAGATGTGAGCCACCGTGCCTGGCTGCCCCATAAATTTTTTAAAAGCAACCTCTGCCTCTGGGGTTCAAGCCATTCTCTTGCCTCAGCTTCCCAAGTAGCTGGGACTACAGGCATGAACCACCAAGCCTGGCTAGTTTTTGTATTTTTAGTAGAGATGGGGTTTTCACCATGCTAGCCTCAAGTGATCTGCCCACCTTGGCCTCCCAAAGGGCTGGGATTACAGGCATGAGCCATTGCACCTGGCCCCAGTATTAATTAAAAAACAAAAACATATGGTACAACTATACTGTGAGTATTATAAGTAATCTAGAGCTGATTTACATATATAGGATGATTGTGTAGTTATCTGCAAAATACTACATTTTATATAAGGTCTTCAGCATCAGAGTTGAGTGACTCTGGTATCCATGGGAAACCAAGCCATTTAGATATCTGATGAATAGTATCAGGTATCTAAATGGACATCCCTAGAGCTGACCAATTTTGGCATTAACTGAGTAAAATGAGCCTGTGACTTACCTGTCAGGAAGACAGCAAACCTGGCATTGATATGCTGAATTTGCAGGTTTAGCAAACATTTCAGAACTTCCGCTTTTGTTGATGATCGAGAGTCACAGTGGTGATAATGAAGCAATTCAATGATATTTGCACTCTGAAATGACTTCAATATTATGTTCTTTTTATGTGCAGTGGAATCCACTCTGAAAGATACACAGGAATATTAAAATGTTAATTTTCAGTTGTTTTATTCTTAGGACTTTTTCTTGCCTTCGGTCTAACCATTCAAACTTGAGATCCTCTGCCTTTCTTGTTTGCCTCTTTAAAGATGGAATCTTGCTCTGTTGCCCAGGCTGGAGTCACTGGCATGATCTTGGCTCGCTGCAACCTCCACCTCTGGGGTTCAAACGATTCTTCTGCCTCAGCCTCCCAAGTAGCTGGGACTACAGTCACGTGCTACCATGCCCAGCTAATTTTTGTATTTTCAGTAGAGACGGAGTTTCACCACATTGGCCAGTTTGGTCTCGAACTCCCTCATGATCTGTCTGCCTCAGCCTCCCAAAATGCAGCGATTACAGACTTGAGCCACCACACCCAGCCTGATGTTTTTTCATGACACACTTTGGTTGTCTCAAAACATCAAAACTGTACCTACTCCTTTTGTAAATGTGGATTTTCATCATGGACCTCATTCTAAGAGGGACATTACGCATCTACCTATGACCAATCAATCAAGCCATGTGGCTTGGCAAGCCTCCCATGAATTTCTAGTGGGCCTTACTGCATTGTGTACTTGCAGAGCAATGCAACTCTGCTCCTCATGCCTTGTGGACAGATAATCACCAACTTCATTGAAATTAAGTAGTAGTCAGAATTTTCTTGTTTTCTTGCCTCCCTGAAAAAACCCTATCACTAGGAGAATGTGTTAACTTGGTACGTTTAAATATTTAGCATCTGTCTCTGCTCTTGACTCCATCTCCCTAGTCCTCATCGCTTACATTCTTATGCTTGTTGGAGAAAACTCAAATCACCCATTCCCATAACCCTAGTAATAATCACTCTTACATCATGATGAATGAATTTCCTTTCACTTTTTCCTATATACATTTTTTATATGATTAACATCATACTGAACATAACTATGTGATACCAACTTTTATGCTATCCTTATTTCTATGAATAGAAGCTTTTTATATGTTTCTATTTGTTGTGTAAGGTTTGGGTGACACTAGTTTGTATCCACATATCTCCATATCTTCCTCCTAAAGATGGAAGTGAGGTGGTTTCTGCAATTACTGATAATCACCTAGAATTCTGGGTAAATTCCACAAAAGATCAAAGGATATGAAGAGTTTTCATTAATGCATAATGATAATGCCAGAGTGGTGTAATTCGAAGAGCATATTACAGTGCCAACAGCAGTGAGTAT